AGAATCTCAAATCTTAGAAGGTCTTAAGAGATATACATGTAGACCACTTTATCTTGAGAAATGTTTATTTAATTTATTCCGTTTGACACATAATTTTCTTGAATCTCGGATTGATGTTATAAAGTTAGTATTACCTGCAATGAGAGAACATCCACAAGAAGTACGTATACAAGTGCCATGTACTGCATGTCTTTATAATCTCACTAAAGGTGAATTCTCCATCATGATTCACCCATCAATTCTTAAACAAGTTGTTGAATTAACAATGATAGCAATGGAATCTTATCCAACCAACTATCGACTTCAGATGAATACATTATTAATTTTATGTAGTGATAGAATACTACAGGAAATAACTTTTGATAAATATAGGTAATTGAACTTTATAAAATTATATATTTTATTTTATAAATGTAAATATAGCAAATATTTTTTTATTTTTTATTATAATTTATGTTTAAATTTCTTTATTTATTATATATAAATTAAAAAATATCAATTAAATTTATAACAATTTAATTATTTTCCATTTGTAGATGTGCAAGATTAGTATTAAATTCTTTGTTAACATTTAATGAACCATCAATGAATCGTATGTCTGTTGCTATTTGCTCTATATTAGCAGCAAAAATATCAACAGTAGAAACATCAATGCTTGGTGCTCAACCTCAGTATATGTCTAAATTATTAGCAATGGTTAGAACTAAAGTTGAATCAAAATCAGTCGACATAACAATGAAATTTACATTAAGTGCTTTATGGAATTTAACCGATGAAAGTGCTACCACATGTGAAGTCTTTTTAGATGAAGGTGGAATGGAATTATTTCTTGAAGTATTAGAAAGTTTTCAAGGACAGTTCAGTGTTGAAACTAAAGTACTTGGCTCATTAAATAATATAGCAGAGGTTTGTAATAGTTAATTTACTTTATTTTTTATTTATATTATTTTTATTAAAAGATAAATTTTTATAAAAAGATATAAAAAGATTTTTATAAAAAGATAAATTTAATTTATTTTTTTAATTATTATATAAATAATTATTAAATTTAAACATAATTTAATCATAAAAAATATAGATTAACATAATAATTATATTTTGTAATGTCTTATAGGTAGTTCATTTAAGACCAAGACTTATGCAGCCTAGATTCATCTCTATGCTTTCTACATTGCTGACATCTGTACATATTGATGTATCTTATTTCGCAGCAGGTATTGCTGCACATTTGCTTAGTGATGGTCCACGTGCATGGGCTGCAATATCTTCATTACCAAGTAGAGATGAATTATTAGAACAATTAGCTCATACTATAACACATTGGCAAACTCCTCAAGGAGAAATGGTTGCATATAGAAGTTTTCATCCATTTTTTTCACTTTTGCTTTGTCGAAATGCTTATCCTGTTCAACTTTGGGCAGTTTGGGCAATACATCATGTATGCACAAAAAATCGTAAGTAATAATATTTCACATATGAAATTTTTTAAATGAATATATTAAATAATTTAATATAAAATATATATATTTAATTATATTCGTTTGTTATAATTATCTGTATGTTATATTATATTTATATCATTAAAATTTTGTAGCAAAACGTTATTGCAGTATGCTAATCAGAGAAGGTGGAGTAGAAATATTAAAATATTTAGAAAATATGCATACAGAACATACAACAAGACCAAAGTTACAAAGTTTATGTCGATCAATTTTGGAAACACTTGAATTACATTCTTAATAATCACTATTGCCTTCCAAAACAAAATTTATAAACACTATGAAGTTGGTATACTAGTCAATGTTTATCTCAATGCAATCTTATATCCTGTTCTTTAGACCAAATAATTAAAACTATTATATGAACATGGATATTTATCAAAAAAGGACTGAAATGAATGAAGTCCAAGATATTGCTATTAAATTCTATAGATTTAAATTGAAGACCTGAATTATAAAGAATAACTATGCATTATAAAATATACATAAATTTCAAAAATATGCTGAATATATAGAATAAGTTACATTTATATATTTGAAAACCAACCTAAGTTATTTAGAGAAAAAAAATCTATAATTTTTGAAGATTTGAAATTATTTATATTAATGAATCTTTTACTTAATATCTTTTTTTTAGTTATTTTGATAAAGTAAAAAGATAGCAGTAAAATAATACACATGCACACATATCTAAATTTTGAAAAATTGACTCTTAATTAATTAATAAATTTAAATCATGATTATTATAAAAAAAATCAATATTTAAAAATTGCAATGAGGTTAAAAGAAATAAAAGAAATAAATTTTTAATATTTTAATCATAATTATATTTTTAAATTATATTGATTAAATTACTATATCTATAAAAAATAATTTATTTAAAAAAAAATTAACTAATTTACTTATCTGTTATAAATTGTATAAGTAAAGATATAATTAATATTTAAAATTTCAACCTAATAAATTGACTATTAAAGTAGATTGTTGCAAAATTGATATAATTTACTAAAATATTTAAAATTTATTTTAATTTTTATTATATATATTTCTTCTTAAAATTAAATATTAATATAAATAAATATTTCTTATGGCTGTTAAAAATAATAATACATTAAAAGTAACGAAAAGAAAATGACAATTAGATTAGAATCTTAAAATATGATAATGCTTTAAAAATATAATTTGTTTGCATTGTTATGTAGTTATTAAAAAATACAATAGCAAATATTTTGTTATGTATTTTTAGCATCTTAAATTCAGGTCTTCAATATTTTCTGTTACATCTTATTCACAATCTTTCCATTAATTGAAAACTCTTTAGAGATTAATCGTGCATTTATATGCCTTCAGAGATATAAAGAAATACAAATTTAAATAAATTAATTAAAATTAATAAAACATATATAATAATATTCTGGTTATATTTGTTATTAAAATATTAATTTGTATGAACAAAATTTATTCATCTGATAACATTAATTGAAATATAAAAATATCGATTTAAATGATACTGAATGTTAATAAATGCAAATCGCTAATTTTTTGAAGTTAATTTTTTATTTAACCTATTCTTTATAAAATAATATTACACATAAATATATATATTTATGTTTAATATTATTAATGTTATTATGATTAATACATCAGTTATATTATATATATATGTATATATTATACATGTATATATATATATATATATATATATATATATATATATATNTTCGATATGATTTTTAAGCCAAGAAAATCTTTATTGACCACTCAATCATGTTACATTTATATATTACACTTATATAATTATTTTTTCTTTTTTTCTTTCTTTCTTTCTTTTTTTTTAATGGAACGTAAAAATTGTTCATGAAATTTGTATGATTATCACTCAATTGATGCTGATGCTGCACTGCACCTGCAAAATACTTAGCGACATGGAAGTAACATTACGAAATGTGGTTCGATTATTAATATGTGGAAACTTGGCTCTCCTCCTAACATCATAGCACAGTGGATTAATAGTTCAAAAACATTTTACACGCATCTTACAAATTAGTAGCAATATGTTTGAGATAAAATTGAGGATGTATAGTTAGTAATAAATAAATGAAAGTTGCATATATTATAATATCAATGTGTTATTCTTTTACAGAAGTTAACAATTTTTAATTTTCGCAACTTTCACTTACTGTGTGCATACAAAAGTTACTATAAATTATAGTAATATGGTATTACTCTAGATATTTACATTGCAGTTCAATTCTTTTTAATTAATATCTTAAGTATAAGTTTCTATATAGCTGAAAAATATGAAATCATTAAAGAATTATTATATAGAATATTTATATAGAATATATAGAATTATTATATAGAATTATTATTAAAGAGTTATTACAAATATATTAATAGTATATTGTAATAATAATGATATTATAAATTTCAGTTTTATAATTATATCAGCCTTTATTTTTTACCAAAAATATTTCTAAAATTATTATTGCTAGATTATAATTTATTAAAATCATTTTCTAAATTATTAATATATTTTTTTCAATGTCAGGAATTCTACAAAAATTCTTTTTGTTTATAATTTCATATTTTATTTTATTTTAATATATTTAAT